AGCTGGCTCTGCCTCTAGATAGGCAGAGCCAGCTGTCACTCACGCAGCTGGGTGGATCCAGACATAATTGTCAGGATCCGCTTCAGCTGCGGCGTCTCAGTATACCGCGAGTTGTAGCTTGCGGTATACTGAGCTTAGGGTGACGGGAGGACGCTAGTTTGTGTCCTCCCGTTACCCTAAGGAGAACTATGGGGAAAAGCCCTAAACCCATAGTTCTCCTTTAACCCCATAGTTCTGCCTCAAGCAGTGATTTCCTCAAATAGTCTGGAATCATTCAAGAAGCTTTTGGACGATTTCCTGAGAGACCGTAATGTACAAGGGTACAGGTACTCTTAAGAATGAGAACACTCAGGGACCTATACACACACACACACACACACAATAGGTTGGACTTGATGGACTTATGTCTTTATTCAACCTCAAATACTATGTAACTATGTAACAAAAATGTAGCTTATTTGTGTATCACTCAGCTGTAGACCTTCCGATCATCTTTGAGTTGGTGTCAGAGATGTCCTTTCTTCTGGAGGGTGGCCACTTTGTTCCCCAAGGTCCTTGTGTATTGTAAAGTAGCCACCTATCCAAGTCCGCTCGTGTGATGGACTACAATCTCACGTTTACTTTATTAATTTGTATTGAAATTATAGTCCATCACAGGAATGAGCTTGGAGTGGTGGCTACTGTACAACACACACAGTGACCATGTAGAACAAAAGTAGCCACCCTCCAGAAGAAAGGACAGTATCAGCACCAATTCAGAGATGATTTAATCTACAGCTGAGTGATGCACAAAAAGGATACATTTTTGTCAATAGTTAAGGTACTTTTTGATGTAGTTAATGTATTTTTAAGATTTAACTCTGGGTTTAACTCTGGGTTAAGTACCACTTTAATTTTAATATTTGAACACTGCTGTGGTGCATTTTTAAAACAGAATGGTATGGTACAGTTGTCCCATTAATCTTTTTCTATGTTCCTAACTTTGTACTACAACTTACATACGTTGTACATTTAAAGTAGATCTATATACAATGCAAAGAAGATTAAGGCCTATACAAAATTTGGCACACAAATGGTGTAATTTAAAGTAGAAACAAAACTTTTTTTTACCTTTGCTTCCTATTTTAGAGATACAGCAAAAAGTAACAGGGGATCTCTCCAAAGAGATAAGGATCTTCGGTGTGCTGGTGACATCTTTACATTTATCTTATGCATACAGCTGTGCCATTCACAGTCATTACGAGCACCCTTCCCATTACATGGGATCTCCGGTATGTAGTGCAACAAGAACCTTTCTACTCTCCAAAGGGATGCCCCCCACTCTCCAAAGGGATGCCCCCTCTTAGACAGTTGTCTTCATACCATGCTTCTCCATCCATTCCCGTTTGGATTTCCCATCACTTTCCTTATGGGGACAATCTCCCCATAAGGATCTCCCCACAATCTCCATATGTGGACAAAAAACCTCTATTCTACCCCTTCCACATTTTGTACAAACCAAAAAAAATCTTTATATTCTCTTAAAGTCAAATTGCACTGAAAATATTAGGTATGCACCGATGCTGATACTAGTACTAGTACTTGTCCAAATGCTCCGATGCTAGGGATGTACCGTTACTTTTCGAGTACCAATGCCAATACTTGGCATTTTCACGAGAACTACCAGGATTGCAGAGGTTGCAGCTGGGACCTGGCTCTGGTGCTCCCCCACTGTTCTGAAATCATTAGTCGATATTGTTTAAGAAAAACTGTCACATGACAATAAACAAAAATGTATCAGTACTTGTATCTGTGAGGACAAGTATCAGTACTGTACTTGTAAGTAATTGGACAAGTATCAGTACTTGTACTTGCAAAACTGGTATCATTGCATCCCTTTATTTATATTTATAAAAACAAAATCATACATTAAATCAGAGATGTACAAATCCCAGGAGCTCTGTGTGCTCCTTACAAATGACAGCTGCCTCCTAACTTTTGAATTTTTCTCTAGTGTAGTCTTGGAGCTCAAAAAGTATCTGTATTTGTACTTGTACCAAGTACTGTACTTGTTATCGGTGCAACCCTATCCGATACCTTCCCCGATACCAGAACCTCCGGTCAGAGGAAGATTTCCTCTGACCGGCAGTGCCGTAGGGGAACATGGAGCCAGCTTACCGTGTGATCAGGAAGCTGGGCGGAGAGTAACGACCCGCCTCCCAGCATCCTGATTGGCTGGGAAGCCGGCTGCATGCTGATTGGCCGGGAATCTAGCTTCCGGGCCAATCAGCATCGAACCGGCCGAACAGCCTTCTCCTTGCTAATTGGCTGGGAAGCCAGGTTCTTGGCCAATCAGCTTTGAGCTGCCGATTAGCTGACTCGATGCTGATTGGCTGGGAATCTGCATTTCCAGCCCAATAAGCATAAGGCCAGCTTCCTGGCCAATCAGGAACCTGGGAGGCGGGTCATTACTCACCGCCCGGCTTCCTGATTGCCCAGGAAGCCTGCTCCATGTCAGCCCAAGCACCGGTATCAGTACTCGGTATCGACGAGTACCGAAAGCAAAGCATCAGATTAGAGAGAGGGTAGAAGAACGTTGGGAGTCTGTCAAATCAGAGATTGTGGGCTCTGAGATTTCCAGTAATGCTGTAGCCATGTTTTGTGTTTGTACTCCTAATCATATTTTTTTTTTTTTTTTACATTCTGCTTGCAATTTACTGGTAGATTTTTGGTGATACATACAGTGATTTGTCTGTTTTAATGTAAGTGAACCTGACCTGACCCAACAATGCTCAAAGTTACAGCAGTGCTGAGATTCAGACACCATTTGGTACCTGTAAGTATCTGTGTTAGCCCTGTAAAACATCTGCATGCAGAGTCCAGGGCCCAAGACTAAGCCATATAGCCCTCGTGATCAGTGGTGGACCTATGGAGGAAAGGGCCCTGGTGAAAGATCCGGAAGTGGATTTCACTGGCCCCCCAACCCCTCCGGTGGTCCCTGCACCAAAGGAACTTACTATCTCAGGTGCCCCCACAGTCACACACTATTATCATACATTTATATAGCTCTGACATATACCGCAGTACTGTACAGAGCAAAGTGAGCCAATCCCATCAGTCTCTGTACAGAGGAGCTTACACTCTAATGCAGAATGGCACCAGCTGTAGGGGGAATACAAATCCCAGCATACATTATACAGCAATGCAGAATAGTATATGAATTGGACTCTGCAACGCACTGGACCTTGCACTTAGCAGCACACTAGACCCGGCACTTGGCAACGTACTGGACTTCAGGCTTGGCAACACTCTGGACTTGGCAACTCCCTGGACTCTGGACTTAGCAACGCACTGGACTCTGCACTTAGCAAAGCTCTGGACTCTGGACTTTGCAATGCACTGGACTCTGCACTTAGCAACACACTGGACTATGCACTTAGCAACGCATTGAACTCTGGACTACAATATTTTATTTAACACTGGGATAGAGAAATAGGTTATAATAGGGAACATTACAGCTCAATGTTCCCAATTATAATCAATTTCTCTAATTAAATTAAATCGCAGCACACTGTGTGCAGTTTTTGGGCTCTGAGCTCTCTCCCCCTCACCCCCCCTCTCACCCCTTCACTGACTCAGTGACTTACTTTATATGCCGCAGTGCTGTCAGAGCCCGACACCATCCTGGCTACACTGTCTAAAGGCAACTCCCTGGACTCTGGACTTAGCAACGCACTGGACTCTGCACTTAGCAACACACTGGACTATGCACTTAGCAACGCATTGAACTCTGTACTACAATATTTTATTTAACACTGGGATAGAGAAATAGGTTATAATAGGGAACATTACAGCGCAATGTTCCCAATTATAATCAATTTCTCTAATTAAATGAAATCACAGCACACTGTGTGCAGTTTTTGGGCTCTGAGCTCTCAATGTTTTCTACTTATTTTTCTTTGACCTTATTTTTTTGTGAGTCAAAACACAGGAAACTCCCAAGGAAACCACACTGTTTGTTTTTAGTAAACATAAGGAGAATAGGATTAAAAACAAAGTCATTTGTTGACTTGCAAATATTCTGTGTTGGCCATGTTGTTGTCCTTTACACGGACTAGTAAATTAAATAGATTTAGGGGCTTAGTTAAAAGTAGACTGACTCTTACTAGACCAGGACAAAGCAGAGGTTATAGCTGCAGTGGAAATGTTTGCTTGCACTTTGTCATCAAGCATTAGAAGATATTGCAGGATTCTCTTCTTATGTTGGAAACGGTTGAACAAGAAAATAACCAAGAAGTCTCCATTTCAAAGAAAATAGTAGATGTGTGCCCTCTTAAATTGAAGTGGAACTGTGCTACCTGTATGAAGCAGCAGTTGGTTTGGGAAGTATACCATTGTGCCTGTGCTTTGTACTCAGAAGTAACCAAGAAGGACCATCAAAAATCAATACTATTTCTATTGGGTTGGTGAGTGCAGTGGCATTCTCTTTCATCTTTAAAGCTCTAAGACTCTGATGCTTTGTAGCCGGAAGCCTTTTTGAACTTAATGATCAGGTAGCCTGCTGTTCTCAAAAGCATTCTAGCAGATACTGGAGGTACTCCATTTCATACTGAGATCTCTTAAAACTTTTAATCTGTGATACAGTCAAAGTGTGCAACTCTGAACTCTGAAACTGCTGTTTTTACATTTTTTTTATAAGTATAAGATGCATTACCTTGAAATTCATGTTAAGGCTTCTTTTAGCTATCTTTAAAAGACCTAAACATTTGCTGTATTTAGTTTGTTAAGCGCCATCTTTTACCAAATACAATCTAAATTTTGATCATTGGAAATATATTTTTTAAGGGCAAAACCCCTGCATCTGGATAGATTTTGTACCAAAAAAACCATAAAAGAACAGCTGTTAAGACTTAAGCACTGTTATTACTCCACTTCATAAAACACGTGGCCACCAGGACAAGGTACTGCTCTTTTCCAAGTAGGCCAGTCAGAACAACCTTTTTGTAATACCTACCTTTATAATGCTAACTCCTGTTGTTGGAGTGACTGTGCACAGTGTAATATGTCTAATAGGGCTAATTGGCAACGCGTTCATCCTTATAGTGCATTTCCTAGACTGGCTGAAGACATATGAATTCAACCCTTGTGATATAATCATTAACAGTATCAGCATCTCCAACATGTTTCTCCAAGCTGCAATTTTATTTAATGAGGTCTGCTACTACATGTTTCTGTTGTTTTATGCTCAGAAATTCGTAATCAACTCCACGGTGGTTATCATGGCTTCACTGGCATTCTGTAGTCTTTGGTGCTCCACCTGTCTGTGTTTTTACTATTGCGTGAAGATCACAAATTTCAGTGGGACTCTCTTCCACAAGCTCAAGTCAAAGCTCCCAAGAATGGTACCATGGATGTTAATAATCTCTATTGCTATGTCTAGTGCTGCTGGCATACCAGCCTACTGGGACCTATACTTAGATATTCCCACTCGCCCTATTAATTTTACAAGAAACATGACATTAACAATGTCTTTTAACTTAAAGAGCAGGTGCAATTGTCTTTATCAGTTCTACATGCTGTTTTCCGGTGTGGCATTCGTCATTATTTTCTTTACAGCTGGGGCAATTATCACATCTCTCTGCAAGCATATGATAAGGATGAGGCAGAACAGTGAAGGTTCTGGCACTGGAAAAATCAATTCTCACTTATCAGCTGCAAAAACAGTTACATCTCTGCTACTTCTTTACTTAATTTTCTATGGAACTTTGAATTTAATATTTAATGATTCCTCCTCGGAAGTAGGCAGCTTATTGTTTTCTTTCTGCTTCATTGTGGTTGCCAGCTTCCCAACAATAAACTCCATAATATTAATCATGGGGAACCGGAAATTGACAAATGTTTTTAAGAAACTGTTGGGTATTAGATCTGTTGCTGGTAGTAACAGTGAAGTCACTGGATCCTAATTTGTATAAACTTGTGAGCTGGCAATCCAGTAACTCATGTAATCAGAAGGAAGATAATTAGCAACCAAATGGCTACTTAGCAATCTTTTGACACCTACAACCCCAAACCATCATAGCTTTATATGGTCTAGTATAATCCTCACCAATACATTTTAGGCAGATCTAAACCAATTTGTTAACATCTCATATAGTGTAAGCTTAAGCATGTTAACGTAATTCCAAGAAATGTTTTTAATCCTTTTAAATCTGCAGCTTTCATTAAAATAATACCTGGCAATCATGCCAAGAAGGTCCTTGTTTAGGCATTACCTTTTATGAATGGAATAGAGACCGTCTCCCAATTGTACTCCTGTGTTGTCACCTAACAATGTGCATCCCTAGTTCAGAATACAAGTGACTGTGTAACACATATTTGCAGGCATGGTCCACCATTGTCAAAATGAGAAAGCCAGACCAGAGCAATAATGTGAAGCCAACAGTGAAGCGAGTACATGTAAACATGTTGAGGCTGAAAAAGTTTGGAGGAGATGCAAAAAAAGAATGATAAAAATGTGAAATCATTACTTTATTGGGTTGTCGTTTTCCTTGCTTTTTTTTTTTTTTTTTTTTTTTTTAGTTGAGACCCCTAGGGGGGAAGAATGGTTTTAATACCAATAGAAAGGGAATTTTTTCGTGGCTGTTTTAGGAAGAAGTTATGAATATCTTTCTCTTCTGTTTTTTTGATTGGATTTCTACCAGGCAGAGACTTTTAACAGGATGTTTACATGTTTATATGTCTGTATTGTTATATATAGAAACAATAAAGAACTAATTTACAAAATAAGTCATTACTTTATGGAAAAAATGGCAAATGTTTATGAAACAGGAAATCAAATGCCAGCCAGTTAGGGTTTAGAGTTCAATCTACTTTAATCACATCTCTAGTTGCATTGAAATATACTGTAGATTCTTATCTCTAGATACTGTAATACTTTCTGAGCAGGCAAACTTCTTTGAATCCTTGCCATCCGCCCATTGTAAAAAAACAGTCGGACGGCGGATCCTTCCCAGCGGGGTCACGTAAATGTACGTCATTTTGTTTCCAAGCCCGGGACTGGCAGAGCAGCTGCCCTTACAGAGAACGGAGGAGAGATCAGCATTTCCCGCTGCTGATCTGTCCTCCGTTCTCTCTGAAGGCAGAAGCTTCCGCCTTTAGCTGTCATTTCTTTGGCTGCTATAGCCAGAAAGAAGCTGGCGAAGCAGATCTCTGCTTCATCAGCTTCTTTGGTGGTCCGTAGGTGACATTAGGGGTCTTAAAGACCCCTGATGTCTCCATAAAGAGGACCTGTCATTATTTTTTGGCCATCACATAGGGGACTTTTCATCCCCCAATGTGATAGCAATCAAGTTAAGTGTAACGTCGGAGTGAGAGCAATAATTCTAGGCCCATCAATCACTGATAACACTAAACTGATGAGCGATAAAAGCTTTTAAAGGGCCGCCCATGGCCAATTTTAGACATGGTCGTTTTTTTGCGACTTTGTGACCCAATCTTCAATATGTTACCAAAAAATTGGGTAATAATAAATGTTTTATAACATAACGTAGGGAAAACAGTTTTTTTTCAAAAGTTTCGGTACTATTTTTATTATATAGAAAAAACTAAAAAAACCCAGTGGTGATTAAATACCACCAAAAGAAAGTTCTATCTGTCCCTAAAAACTTTTATACAATGAATTTCAGTACAGTTGCATGACAGAATAAATGTCAGTCAAAGTACTGCAGCGCTGAATACTGAAAAATGGCCTGGACAGGAAGGGGGTTTAACACCCCGGTCAACAAGGGGCTAAAGTGACCTATAAGTTATCTGCATCATGAAGAAAACAGAACCCTTTTCCCGATCTGTTAAAAGATGCATTGTTTAATTTGATCTGAATTATGACAAGACTTACAGAAAAAAGTAAGCTAATGTTCATTATTTTTTATGCACATTTGATTTTGTGTTCTCCTAAATGATCAAATTGAAAACAAAGCTTGCTTGATTATACCACTCACACGACATTCACACCTAAAATATATTTGCAAACATGTTGTACACCACACACCTTTCTGTTTTGCTACATTTAACTCAAATTACAATCATGAATCTGTTTGAAATTTGAATTGTTTCCAATAAAATGTTCATTTAACCATTATTTTTTTATGTGCAAGAAATAATAAAATCAATTGAAATTCTTCAGGTTGTCTGATTCAGACAAGCAGTTGGATGTGATCAACAAGTTGCCAACAACCAATATTAGCTGATTTGCAAAATGGGCCCAGTTAGGGCTTCAGCGCTTTATTTTGCAGCTGTGGAAGTATCATACAATGATTATAGTTTTTATTATTACTGTAGGGCCTTTTAGGAGAATGCTGGACATACACTTGAAAGTAAAATCTGACCTGGTCTAAAAAGTATAACAGCAGTGCTGAAGCACGGGCATTGTGGTACTTGCAAATGTCTGTGTTAGTCTTTCAACCATTCCCCTTGGATTCTAAATTCAGGCTGTACAGTATAAGGGGCTTCAACATCTCTCCAGGCTATCCAGCATTCATTCAGTCATTCAACTCTCAATTGCTGAAGCTTCAGTGAGTAGCAGAGAGTCTAGCATTGGACAGTTAAATAACACGACAGGCAATAGAGGCAGAAGGGGACGGGGTTTAAATTCAAAAGAGAAGTCAAATAGGTTTATTTGAAGACTAACACATACATTTCAGAAATTACTATAGATCGGTCAGATTCACAAGGCTGGCCATATATGGTAGGTAGCTCCCAAAAACAAAAAAGATATATCTGCCCTGGCATAAGAACTGTGACCTGTGGCAATTCTTACCACAAATGCAGACACTGTCAAATTTCTGCTCCTTCATTCTTCTGCTTCTTTACTCTTCTCCATAGAAATTTGAAACATAGGGGCTCACTTACAGTGAGAAGATGGGCCACTGCCATCCCTGCAACCAATTATGCGTCCCTGTCCCCATTAAGCTGTCTGGTAGGAGATTCCCCAGCGGGCAGCTGAGCATAAGCATAGGGGCCAGGGATGCTGGCAGCCATGGCCATATTTGGGTGATGATGCCAGCCAGCATCCCCCACTCCTTTGTTTACTTTCAGCTGTCGACCGGGACTCTCCTGGTCAATAGCTAAGTGGGGCTACAGATCAGTCACTGATTGCTTAGATGCTGTAGGCTGCATAGCTGACAGCCTCTTAACATCCAATAAGGTTGACAGTAGGTGGAGCCTGATGGGGAACTCTGAGAGACTATTTTCCCATCAGTTCCACCTCGCTAGTAATTGGCAGCAGACAGTGGATGGATTCCCTAACCAATAACAGCCTATTACTAGTTATGAAATCCACCCATTCCATCCCAGATAGCAAGGATAACCTGCCACCAACTTGTGGCAGGGTTAAATTGTAATTCTTTCTAACTTGCTGCACACATTCCTGGCAAGTTGTAGACTTGCAGGACAATTGCAGCTCAAGTTCTAGTTGACACTTTTTGAAAATGTAGCAAATTTGCTTGGCAAGTCTACAGCAAGAGTCTTGCAGGTCTTAGCAGGAGCTCTGCAAGTGTACAGCACTTTTGCAAATCACGTTGATCTGGAGACTTGCAATGCAGACTTGCTGTAATTGTGCAACAAAATTGTGAAGCTTGGCAAATATAGCAATAGTTTAGCAAGTCATTTTCAAACTTGCAGCTCAATTGCTTGCTATCTGGGATACTGTCAATCAGCAGCAAAGTGGACATGATAAGGAACTAGTCTTTTAGAATTCCCCATCTGGCTCATCCAAACACAACAAAAGTCTTCAGCAACTGTACCTGCCTGTGTGACAGATGCAATGGCCGAGCAGAGAGCTTAGTAATACTGAGCCTGTGATTTTATGAGGCCTAGTGCTACTTAGATGCATTAAGGATTAAGTGTTGCATATGTACATTCTGGTCTCAGTGCACACCTGCACCACAAATAGCTGTGATTGCTCCAGTTTTATGTACCTGTTTAAAGTGGGTACATGAATCTCAGGCAAGCACCAGCATATGTTGAGCAAATGAACAACATAATTCTGAAAAGAATGCTTTATGTAGTTCAAGGACTGTTCTACAGTCAACCACAGTACACACAGGTTCAAAACACTTGGAAATGCCTCCCAATGCAAATCAACAACTGCCTCCAAACAGATGTTTCATTGGATCATAGATCTTTCATACTATGTGAACCATATACAGTCATGGTACTAGTGAGATTGGTACTGCCCCTCTACGTCTTATCAGACCTTGCTAATTCTTGCACCACAAAGTAACCATCCTACAGAATATTCATTACAACATACTACATGTAACATATTCTAAAACGTTGTTTTCTTGTTTACAAATACAACTTCCATAATCAAATTACAAGTATGCTTTGCATATTGCCTTTCAATTATACAGCATGCTAATTAAAGCACACCCACTGTAAACCCAAGATCTTGCCAAGAACACACATACTGTCCTAGGGTGACAACTCTTACTCACTGCACTGTATCTAGAACTTATAAAGCCTAGGATAGGAAGTTTATTAGTACTTCAGAACACCTCCCCCGTCCAAATCTCTATAACATTACTTATATTCTTCCTGAGAACATTGTTTGAGGTAAGACTGTAGAGTGCACAGGACACACAGCAACACTGGAATTCTGGCAGGATCAACAGGTATTTTTTTTGCACTTGTAGAGCAGATATAACAACAATGCTTTTGTTAGTATATGTAAAGGACCAAAAGGGAGCAAATAAGAGAAGCTAATTATTAGGGTCCACATACAGCGGCAAAGCATGGGGGGGTCAGGGGGCGACTACCCTGGGAGCCTAATTTTGAGAGGCTCTGTGGGCAGCTGGCCCTCCCGTACTGGGCCCCATGGGGTTAGCAGGAGGGGCTGGACTCAGGTTTGAAGCTGTTGCTGCCCTGCAGCTCTCTCCTCCCCCTGGGAGATGGCTACATGCTGTGG